GTAGGGCAAGAATTTGATCAAATTATTCTTTTCCGAGATTGGAAAAAAAAACAAAACAACCAACCCCAAAACAGCCAAACAAAACCCCACATAAACATAGAGGTTTTACATGTGAGAACCTGGATCCTAGTGTTCATCAGAAACTTTTGAAAGAGATGCGGTTCTGCAACTTTCTGGAGATCCACATTAAAACAAACAAAACCCATAAAACAAAACCCTTTTCAACTCCTATGCTGTGACCTTTGGAATACCCTTTGGAAGCTGAAACCATTTTTTCTCACTCGTAATCGAAACTTTTCCTTTTCAGAGACTGTTTATTTGAGTTAAATTGTTGAAATGCAACAACAATCTATAAGGAAGGCAGGATGACAACTTGTACATGGAAGAGGGTTTTTATCACCTTATAATTTGCTGATTAAAAGATTGACAAATGGCCTAAGATTTTCAGTGTACCACATGAACATAGAAAGTTTAGATAAATACCTTATAAATACAAAAGGTATTAAACCAATCTGGACACCTTTATGAACCACAAGACCAAAGCAATACTTCTGAAATCTTAGTGAATGGGAAGCTTTTGTGTGACATGGTTTTGTCACAGTTAATGCTAATTTCATTCTGAATTTAGAATCCTTTGTGCCATTATTGTTATGTTTACTTGTCATGAAGAATGGCCATGATTTTATATCAGATGTAGGGAAATCCTGACCCTGCTGAAATCAGTGACAAAACTCCACCTTCAAGGAGGTCTGCATCTCACCCAAATGAGGAGACATTCCCTGCCTTACTGCCAAAAGCTTGGTATTAGTAATTGAAAAGGATATTCAACATCACTATAGGAAACACAGCCAGATGTAGTTCAGAAAAACTGAATAAGTGTATTTTCATGCATTTAATCTCATTAGGAACATCAGATGAAAGTCTGCTGAGACACAAAAAAACTCTATACAGCAGAGATCTCTAAAAGTGCTGTCTGAGAGACTCAAAGCTCTAAAGGGTTTTGCTCACTGGGCATCGTGCAGAAATTACATTTAAATATTTGTATTTAAGATTTGGAAATTAAAGTAAATGCTTCTATCTATTTTCTTCCATTTCAGTACTTTTCCCATTATGGACCTAATGAAAGCCTTTTTGAAGTACAACTGCTTGGTTTTCCTGCATGAAGAAGAAAATTAGGTCAAATAATCTAACTTCTGAATAATTTATATTAATATTGTATAGATCCACTTAGTTTTTCATTCAGTGTTTGACCATCCTCATAGACATAGTAAAATCCCATCCTTATTAGAAACACTGAGAAGCTGGAATTTTTGTACAAAAAACATGACTGCTAAAACTGGGATAAAGGGCTACATAATTTTCAAAGCAAAGCAAGAACATTATTTGAACAAATGCTAGCATTTGAAAAAGGTGGTATTAATTTTGTGTGTGAACTGTGATAATCCCTTGCCTATTTCTAAATCCCTGTAAATTGTTTCATAGGGCTTAGGAGTTATGACTCATTCACATTTTCTGACAAGCAATTGTCACAGGAGATCTAACACATAAGTAGGAAATTGGAGAGATCTGGCATATTTGAACTAGGTATATCCAAAAATTGAATGCTTTACCTTGGACTAAGTGGAAAATCTTTGGGTTTGAAAGTTGAAGGTAATATTAAAAGTGCATTAAAAGGAATGATGAACAGTATTGGAATGGGTTTCTGTTTTACATTGTGTGGTTGAGTTGAATCCATGGATTCCTCCAGTTACTTGACTCTGCAAACAACTATTTTCATATAAATTTTCTGTTCAAATGACAACAACTATCAGTCCAAGCAGCTTGACCAATTTATCAAGCTCCATATCAAATACAGCTCAAACTGAAAATCCCTGATCTAATGACTCCTGAGAAATACATTCCCATGCAATCACAGTGAGAATTGAAAAGCAATACCATGGATTGCTTATCAGTGATTTTCACATTCTCTGTTTTTAATGTCATTTTCAGTAATCATCTTAGGATGCAAATGCTTCTGCAAAATGTGTGTGCTGACTGCAGGATGGGGCCAAGGTAGGCTGGTGTGAAACAAGAAGCAGGGAAATAAAAGAAAGTGCTCTGTTGATCCTGTGTGTAGTTGATAATCCTAAACATATCTGGTCCAAGCTCAGGGAATGCAAAAAGCCTCGTGGCTGCTAATAATGCAATCTCTCCTTTACTAAGAAATCCTTCAGCTTTCATCACAACATTTTCTTTAATAGTAAATGTGGTAAATAGTACTCAGAAGCCTGAGACCCAGGTTGCAGCATTCTTTTAGGAGAAGCCATTTTAAAGCACATAAGAGAACACTAAATGCCTCCTTAACGAATGTCCTCTGGCAGGGTTTGCTGTCTAGTTGAACATCTGTTCTAAAGGTTTATCTGATTATAAATTACTCCTTTCAAAACGGTAGCAATTGATTCCCACTAAAATATGAGTTTGTATGCCGTTAATTGCCTGATTATAATTATCTTCTTCCAATATGGATTCATGTTGGCTTAACTGCTTTTGCTTATTTTCTATGAATTGTAGTTCTTTTTGCAGGCTTGTCTCCCAGTTATGGAACATATAAGAAATGTGTATTAATTGCTACCATATTACTTAACTCTTATCAATATTTACAGTTGTTTTCTCTTTTTGCTGTCCCTTATTTTGCTTAAACCTTTCACATTACTCTGAAATTTCTAGTAGTCCAAATGGTTTTGCCTTATGAGCAAATGGCACAATTTTTCCCCTTTGCTGCTTAAAACATTTGTTAATGATTTGGCAAGCTGAGATAGCTTCCACATGAGGAAGTAAGGGCTGGTTTCTTCATTTCTGCTTTCCTCACCATAATAGATAGCAATTCAAGAAATTAAAGTAGCAGTGTTGTATTTTAGGTAAGGGTTCTTGAACATATTTTAAGTACAAAGCACCCTTATCCTACACATTATCTATTTATTTTTCTTCTTTCCAGCTTGCTAATTTGAGGTGCCTCTTCCTGGCATGAGTAAGAAAGTGCTTGCAACCTGTTTTCACCACAGTGAATGTTACTTAACAGGAGAGTGTTTGGGAGAGACCCAAAATTTCTGTCTGGCTCTGCTGGAGACACCAGCAGGCTGGCAGTGATGATGCAAACAGGTGACACCTTTGCTGCCACGTCCAGGAAGAGGACATTGTGTTCCTCCTTCCTGTGCTGAACCACAGGGCTCAGCTGAGTAACTCAGGACCACGGTCTGTGGTTTAGCACCATTAAGTTGAGGCTGGTTGGTTCAAGGAGCTGAAATGGTGGCACACCAGCTCCCTTGGAGCAGGCAAGGCCAAGGAACGCTCCCAGGAAGGGCTCAGCCAACAGCCTGCCGAACATGGCAGCTCCCAGCAGAGCTGGTGATCAGCAGCTGATGGCAAACTGGTGTTCATCATGTTCTCCATCAGCACAGCGGGCGCCAGCCAGGATGTTTGTCCTTCGTTCTTCTTCTTACAATGCCCTAAACCAAATGCCAAACAAATGTCAAGTAGTCAGATTATCTGGCACTCCTGAGGAACTGCTCGCTGTGCAGCTCTTCCGTCAAGGTGTAGCAAGAACGTCCTCACAGCAGTGTCTGCTAAGAAAACTCTTTGGTGATGTTTCTGCTGCTTTGACATTCATTCCTCTGCGAGACCCAGACTGCACACTCAGTTGAACTGCAGTGTATTCACTCACACTGGGAGGCTGCTTTTTGGCAACCAGACTGATGCTAAAAATAAAACAACCTATGCAAAACAAACAAAAAACCTCCTCGCTAAATCCATAGCGGGAGTATGTTGCTTCAGAAAGCGCTGGGTTGTCTGCATATGTTTTTTGGTGTCTCTTCCACGAGAAAAATAAAGGAGGGAAGTTTAATAATGTAGTATTTTTGCAATCATCCATGCAAATCACCCCAGACAATAGCTGTGGCACGCACAAAGTATAGAACCAAGTTTGGAAACTTCTCAGATACGGACCTCATCCTACTTATAAAAACACGTTGTTATGAGGATGCTGTTTACTGTGCGTCATGCCTACAAAATAAAACGGAGAGGGATACTACTTTTTTTAAATTTATTTAGGGGCAATGCCTGTATTTTGTTTTCCCTGCTTGATTTTCTGTTTTTAATTGGAAACTTTGAAGATAGCCTGGCCTTTTAAAAGGGTGTTTGTGCACATGCGTGTGCCTCCTGAGCCTTTGGACTTGATTTTACACAAGTAACAGTAGAGTTAGTACCGAGTGTGGGTAAAAAAGAGAGATTTGCTTACAAAAGACAGCGTACTTTAAAAAGTTAATGCCTTTGGAATTTGTTTTACCTTTGGGGTTTTGTCCTCGAGCTCTGGTCTCGAAGATTTTCTCTGCAGCTAGGATGGGTGGAAACTGGCTTACACACGAAAGCCGGGGGGCTCCCACACGCCCAGCAGCAGGCGGGCGCGGCTCACGGGCAGCGCCCAGCCCTTCTCACGCCCGGCCCGGCGGAGAGGGCGGCGGCGGCTCAGCCCCGGGCCCGAGGGTCCGCTCCACTCCCTGAATGGGCGGAACTCCTCGCTGATGCCAGCCCGGGGGGCTCCTGCTTAATCCTGGCCCTCCGGGCTCTTTCTTCGGTGAACCTCCGACGGGTGGAAGCCTAAATAACGACGACGGCGATGACAGTAATAATGATAATAATAAATAACTAATTAAAGGAATACCGAAGCAGCCCCTCAGCCTGGGCGTGCGGGGCGGCGGGGGGACCCCGGGGGACCCCTGTCTGTGCCGCTGCCCGAGTCTCCTCCAGGCCCGTAAACCCGGCAGCGTTGCTCGCTGCTCGCTGCTCCGCGCCCTGGTAACGGCGGCCCCCGGCGGGCGGGAGGACGTGCGGGGCCGCCCGTCGCGGCTGTTTCCGCGTTGCCCGTGCGGGCAGGTCCCGCCCCAGCCCCAGCCCCGCGGGGAGGCTCCGGGGCCGGCGGGGGGGC